GAGTCCAGAGGCCCCCATGCCCAGAGACTATATATTCACATGGTAAGTGACCAAGAAACTGTTACATGAGGATGACTGTTACAAACTGTCTTTGAACAAAGAAAATGAAATAATTGCATACAGAACATCAGCCCTTGGGACCACTCAGTTTGAAAATCAATATCTAGAAATATGCATTCATAAAGTGAATGTGGCAGATGAGATCAGATCAAGGGAAAAGTGCTGTGAAGTTAAAGTGATGGTGAGCTCATGGCAACCCCAAATCTGAGTCCTGAGACATCAGTCAGTGCACAAGGTTGATCTGATGTGTGTCGAAAAGACAGGCAGAATCTCTCATACCTGCTGTGGTCCCTGACAGGTGATAATGCAGGTGAAATGTGGACACAGAAGTCCCAATACATACCAATGCCTTGTAATAGGGGGGCACTCTTTTCAAACTATCAGGGCCAGGGCCAGGCCTCTCTCACTGAGGTAAAGAAAGGGCAACTTTACTGGATTCTCTCTGCACAAATTGTATTGGAACACCCTCAAGGGGTGCTTTCTTTGGGAGTGAAGCATGGTGAAAGCTTTTGTCTGAAGGGTTCTCTGAATTTGATCTTGGTCTTTTGCTTATCAAGAGCAATGCCATGAAGTTCAGCTTGCTAGAAGCCGACTCAGCATATGCGACTTGGAATTGGGTCTACTCCTCACAAGATCCTATTCCCTATCCCTAGGATGAAGGAGCCAGGACTATGCTGAGCTCTGATCAGAGTAAGAGAAAGGAGCCCGATGGAGACAGGAAGGACCTACCAGGGCACATAAAGCCACAGTGGAGCAGCTGAACATGTGATAAACCATGGGATGCTCAGCTGTCTGTCCCCACAGTTAGAAGCCACTCATTGGCCAGAGGAAAAACAAGGAGCACGTGGAAATCTTAATCAAACTTGCTCAAGGTCCAGCAACTCCTGGAAGTCCAAAACACAGCTCATAGCCAGAGGACAGAGAAGACAATTCCAGACCATCAGTCCACAGAGGTGTCACCTGTCCTTCTGTCTTTGTGTGAGCCTCACCACCCCCGACCTGCCCTTTCCCCCAGCAAGAATGTCACAGGTAAGAGAACTGTGTTCTCTTTATATCTGGTTCTCTTTTTCGTCTCTCTATTTCAGAAGAATGTTTTCAAGGATTTTAGGTGTGTTTCTGCCCAGGGAAAGAACATTAACAGGACAGTGCAGCCCTCCTTTGAGGACTGTGGGCTGGAATCCATCCTTGGTTATTCTTTTTTATGTGTGTGAATTTTGCTTTATTGTGGTAAGACTTCTTGACACAAGATATATTATCCTAATAATTTTAAGTGTGCAGTAGTGATCTATTAAAATGCAAATCCTTGACTGGGTACAGTGGCTCATCCCTGTAATCCCGGCACTTTGGGAGGCTGAGGTGGAGGGGATCTCTTGAGCTCCAGGTGTTTGAGATCAGCATAGGGCAACACAGGGAGACAACCATCTCTACAAAAAAAAAAAAAAAAAAAAAAAAAGAGAGAGAGAGAGAGAGAAATAGGAAATTAAAAAAGAAACGTAGTCAGTTGTGGCAGCACACACCTGTGGTCCCAGCTACTCAGGAGGCTGAGGTGGCGGCATTGATTGGGCTGGAGAGGCGGAAGTGATTGCACCACTGCACTCCAGCCTGTGGGTGACAGAGTGAGACCTCATCTCTAAAAGAAAGAAAGAATGAATAAATAACTAAATAAATCCAGATATTATTATTCTCTGAGTTTAAAACTTTCCAACAGCTGGCCATTGAATTTAAAATTCAAACTTCTTGTCTTGGCCTATATAATTCCACAGGTGCCTACTTCTCTAAACTTATTTCTCTCACTCTTTCCTTCCCTAAACTTCAGCCACACTGGCCTTCTTTCTTTTCTTCAATCATACGACTGTCCTTCCCATGGGCCTTTGTACCCATAGGTGCCCACGATACTGGGCAGTCTTCCTCTAGATATACCCAGGATTGTCTTTCTGAAAAAGCCAGGAAATATTACCAACTCAGAAAGGACCAACCTAAGTGGCTCAGTGTCTTTCTCGTTTTCCTTGGGATAGTCCATTCCACTGCCACCTTTTTTTTCCATAAGAGTAGCAAGCACCACCTGAAATGATCTAATTTACTGCATTTGCTTATTAATAATATTCATCTTCCCCAACAGGATATTTATTTATCCATCTCTCACTATATACTTAGCACTGCTCTAGGCACTTACATGCTATCCACCCATTTAATTTTCAAACCCAGAAGTAGGTATTACCAGTATTCTAATTTTGCAGAGGAAGTACCTGAGGTTCAAAACGATGAAGCAGCTTCAGTTCCAAAAACATTTCAGTACACTATTGTTGACTATAGGCAACTACTACTGTTGTGCAGCAGAGCTCTAGTACTTATCTATTTTGTTAAACTGAAACTTTATGCTCACCGATCACTAGCTCCCTACTTCCTACCCTCCATCCGAGGGAACAACCATCCCACTCTTGGCTTCTATGAATTTGACTATTTTAGATACCCCATTTAAGTGCATGGAGTATTTATTTTTTTATGACTGGCTAATCTCACTTACCATAATGATCTTCAGGTTCAACTATGTTGTAACATATGACAGAATTTCTTCTTTTTAAGTGCTGAATACTGTTTTATGGTATGTTCACGTAACATTTTCTTCATTCATTTTTTGATGGATTTTTAGTTTTTTTCCACATCTTGGCTATTGTGAATAATATTGCAGTGTACATCAGAGTCTTAATATTTCTTTGAAAATCTGATTTTAATTCTTTTGGATAAATATTTGGAAGTGGGATTTCTGGATCATATGGTGCAATTCTATTGTTAATTTTTTGAGTAATCTCCATTTTTTTTTTTACAGAAACTGCACCATTTTACATTTTCATCAACAGTGTGTGAGTGTTCCCTTTTTCCACATCCTTGTCAGCACTTGTTATCTTTTGTTTTTCCATAATGGCCATCCTAACATGTGTAAGGTGCTATCTAGTTGTGGTTTTGATTTGCATTTCTTTGATGAGTCACCTTGGTTTGTCCTTGACTGGAGACACATTTTGGAAGCTGATGGCACTCTCTGTTAATGGACATTTGGGTTCTTTCCTCCTATTCTCCCCTGAACTGGCTCTTTCCAGGTCAGTAGGAGGAAGAGCATGCCCTTGGTGCTGCAGGACTAAGATTAAGCTCTAGTGAAATCTGTAACATCTTGTTGAACATTCCCATGGATCAGCTGTAGTGCCTCATTTAATGATTTTTCTTTGTTACAGGATCATCTTGCTTTAGTGACCTCAACTTCTCTGACAACTTCACCTATGAAGCTGTCTTAAAGTATAAGAAGTCACTGTCAGTATTCAGGATCTTTGGAAAGAATGGTTTGATCTCCTTGCGCCCAGAGGGTTTCACCTCTCAAGAATCCTAAGTTCTTCAGTGTTCTGGACTCCATAATGGGGCATCTGGGGTCATCAGGGCTGATTCTCAGAGCCCTAGCCAACTCAGCAGAAATGTCCAAGGCTCAGAGAGTGGGCCCTGGACAGGAGATGTTGGCATCTTCCAATGAAACAGTTCCATTCATCTTCCTGAGACAGGAAGGTGGCCAGGAATCTCCTCAAGGAAAACACATGAGATCTCCTCTATTCTGTGATCAGCCTTGAGGTACCACACCTCCCCAAGGTGAGCAGGTTTTTGGCTGAGGGTGAATGGTTCATATCAGTTCTCCCTTACTCTGGATGCATTGTCTGAGGTGTTTTCATGCTAGGCTCTTGGCTCCTGTCTCAGAGTCTTGAAAAAAGACAGAGCAGAGCTCTCCTGCTGACAGTTCATATCTGCACTCATCCAGGATCTTCCACTTAAATGAGCTCTCAGCATCACGGGCAAACTTCCAACATGTGAGTAGATTCACATCTGAGATTACATCTTTGGTCTTCTGCAAAATAGTGATAAGGATTTCAGTGGTTGAAAGAGGAAGCTGTGGTCAGGCCCCACCACTCCAGGGACAGCAGCTCAGTGCTGCCCTGAAGGGGCCTGGCTGCCCCTTTCTGTACACTGATGGCTGAGATCAGAATACCAACCTTGAATATGGCTTATAAGCCCTTACCTCTCTAGAGTTGCAGGGACCTCTCTGGGGTTTACTAACTCAATAGTAGAAAAATTGGAGCATCTGGGGTCATCAGGGCTGATTCTCAGAGCCCTAGCCAACTCAGCAGAAATGTCCAAGGCTCTGAGAGTGGGCCCTGGACAGGGGATGTTGGCATCTTCCAATGAAACAGTTCCATTCATCTTCCTGAGACAGGAAGATGGCCAGGAATCTCCCCAAGGAAAACACATGAGAACTCCTCTATTCTGTGATCAGAAAATAGAAAAATAGTTATTGAGCTCAAGTTGCATAAGATGACCTCTCCAGACAGGAGCATTAATGATTAACAAAGCAGATGAAGCTACTTGCCCCAGAGTGGAGAACTTGGTGAGCTTGTCTGTGGCTCTCTCCTTCTAGTTGTCACCCAGCAGTTCCAGCAGGTCACTCAAATCCCCATGTCCTACTAAGAAGATCCCCTCATTTATCCCACTAGGAAACACCCATTACCCTTATCATTTCCTATCCACTCAGCCCAATTTATTTTTCTCATAGCAATGATCACAATGTAAACCCAAAGAAGATACAGACAGTTCTGCCTTAGTCACTGTCTTATCCTCATGCCAAAGATAAGTTTGTGGCAAGTGACATATGTCTACCGAAGGGGTATTTTCCTGCTGAGTGGAGATGATGAAATGGTCTTTTGAGGAGCTTAAAAAAGGGAGGTCTAGGAGAAGACCCCAGTGTGTTTCACAGATCCTAGAGCTGGAGGCAGAGGTCAGAGAAGCCTTGCAAAGTCTGCTTTGTACTCCAGGTTCTATAAAAATAATAATTGTTTTTTGGATCCAAGATGGCCGTTTAGGAACAGCTCAGGATTGCAGCTCCCAGTGAAAGCGCAGAGGGTGAGTGGATGCCGCGTTTTTATTGCCCACAGACTAGGAAATTCCCGGGCGGAGGTGCTCCACAGGTCACCAGCGCGGCTCTTTCGGCCAGCGCGGCTGTGCCGGCCGGGGCCGCTGCTTTGCCCCACGCGGCTGCTTTGTCGGCGCCCCGGAGCAGCGCTTCTCCGTACAAAATACACTGGTCTGGGGGCCCTTTTGGCTTGCGATTGGAGCCACGGGAAGTCGCCCGTACGCTGGCTCAAAAAGGGGACTGAGCAGAGAACCAGGACAGTAGATTCCAGGGGAAAAAAACAAAAAAAAAAGTGCCACAAACCTCAGTGCTGCTGTTTAAGCCAGAGGAGTGAGTGGCCGCAGGGGAAAACAAACAGACCCCGGCGCCTCTTCAACAGGCGACTGGAACACCAACTTAAAAAAGGCTGTGAGGCAGGGAGCTGGGCGATCAGGCTCGGCTGGTCCCACCCCCACAAAAGAACAGCAACAAGAAACTCTGGATTGAGAGTTTCACAGCAAGCGCAGCCGAACCCAGGACGGTCCAGCTCTGTGGGGGAGGGGGGTCCACCATTACCGAGGCAGCCCGCCGTTGCTGAGGCAGCCCGCCGTTGCCAAGGCAACCCGCCACAGCAGAGACTCCGCCCCAACAGAGGCGGGCCACCATCGCCAAAGCAGTTCTAACTACACCCATATAAACAGGACTGCAGGGAAGTTCACTCAGCAGCTGGGCAGAGCCCACAGCAGCTCAGCAAAGCTGCTATAGGGGGACAGTGACTAGGCTACCTCCTTGCTGGGCTGGGCAGATCTGAAGGAGAAAAAAAAAAAAAAAAAAAAAGAAGGCGGCAGCATAACGGAAACTCATAAATAAAGCCCTAAATCCCTGGGACAGAGCACCTGGGAACAAAAAGCAGGTTATAAGTACTGCTACAGCAGACCTAAAAGTACCTACCCAGGAGCTCTGAATGAACAACAACAGAGCTCGCAGCTCACCGTTTGAGCTCCTATAAAGAAGAGACCGGCTCCTCAAGCAGCTCCCTGACCCCTATATATCCAAAAAGACACCTCATAAAAGAGAGATCAGATTGACACTAAGCGGGTATCCTTCTGGGACAAAGATAGCAGAAGAAGAAAACTGGTAACAACCCTTGCTGTTCAGAAGCTGCTGCAGGGGAACCCCAGGCAAGCAGGGCCTGGGGTGAACCTCAGCAGACCTACAGCAGAGGGGCCAGACTGTCAGAAGGAAACCAAGAAAGAGAAATAACCTCATCATCAACAAACAGGCTGTCAATCTGAAAGATTTGAGACCCAAACAGAAAGCCAACAAACACAAAGTCGACAGGTGGATAAATCCTTAAAGATGGGAAGAAACCAGCGCAAAAGGATGAAAACACCCGAAGCCACAACACCTCTCCTCCTAAAAGGGATCACAACTCCTCACCAGCAAGGGAACAAAGTTGGAGGGAGAACGAGTGTGATGAAATGACAGAATCAGACTTCAGAAGGTGGGTAGTAAGAAACTTCTGTGAACTTAAAGAACATGTTCTAACCAAATGTCAAGAAACTAAGAACCTTGAAAAAAGATTTGATGAAATGCTAACAAGAATGGACAAAATAGAAAGGAATATAAGTGAATTGATGGAGCTGAAAAACGCAACACGAGAACTTCGTGAAGCATGCACAAGTATCAACAGCCGAATGGACCAAGCAGAAGAAAGGATATCAGAGGTCGAAGATCAAATCAATGAAATAAAACGGGAAGGCAAGACTGGAGAGAAAAGGGTAAAAAGGAATGAACAAAGTCTCCAAGAAATGTGGGACTATGTGAAAAGACCTAATCTACGTTAGATAGGCGTACCCGAATGCGACGAAGAGAACGAATACAAGCTGGAAAATACTCTTCAGGACAATATCCAGGAAAACTTCCCCAACCTAGCAAGGCAGGCAAACATTCAAGTCCAGGAAATACACAGAACACCACAAAGATATTCGTCAAGAAGAGCAACCCCAAGGCACATAATCGTCAGATTCACCAGGGTCGAAATGAAGGAGAAAATACTAAGGGTAGCCAGAGAGAAAGGTCGGGTTAGCCATAAAGGGAAGCCCATCAGACTCACAGCAGATCTCTCAGCAGAAACCTTACAAGCCAGAAGAGAATGGGGGCCAATATTCAACATCCTTAAAGAAAAGAACTTTCAACCCAGAATCTCCTATCCAGCCAAACTAAGGTTCATAAGTGAAGGAGAAATAAAATGCTTTGGGAACATGCAAGTACTCAGAGATTTTGTCACCACCAGACCAGCTCTACAAGAGCTCCTGAAAGAGGCTCTACACATATAAAGGAACAACAAGTACCAGCTCAACTAAAGGGCAAAACAGCCAGCTAGCACCAAAATGGCAGTATCAAATTCACACATAACAATATTAACCCTAAATGTAAATGGACTAAATGCCCCAATCAAAAGACACAGACTGGAAAATTGGATAAAAAGACAAAACCCATCGGTGTGCTGTATCCAGGAAACCCATCTCACATGCAAGGATACACAAAGGCTCAAAATAAAGGGATGGAGGAAGATTTACCAAGCAAATGGAGAGCAAAAAAAAGCAGGAGTTCCAATTCTCATCTTTGATAAATTAGACTTTAAAGCAACAAAGATCATAAGAGAGAAAGAGGGACATTACATAATGGTAAAAGGATCAATGCAACAAGAAGAGCTAATGATTCTAAATATATACGCACCCAATACAGGAGCACCCAGATACATAAGGCAAGTTCTTAATGACTTACAAAGAGACTTAGACTCCCACACAATAATAGTGGGAGACTTTAACACCCCATTGTCAACATTAGACAGATCAACCAGACAGAAAATTAACAAGGATATCCAGGACTTGAACTCAGACCTGGACCAAGCAAACCTAATAGACATTTACAGAACTCTCCACCCCAAATCCACAGAATAGACATTCTTCTCAGCACCACATCACACCTACTCTAAAATTGACCATATAATTGGGAGTAAATCACTCCTCAGCAAATGCAAAAGAACGGAAATCGTAACAAACAGTCTCTCAGACCACAGTGCAATCAAGTTAGAACTCAGAATTCAAAAACTAACTCAGAACTGCACAGCTTCATGGAAACAGAACAACTTGCTCTTGAATGTTGACTGGATAAACAATGAAATGAAGGCAGAAATAAAGATGTTGTTCGAAACCAATGAGAATGAAGACACAAGATACCAGAATCTCTGGGACACATTTAAAGCAGTCTCTAGAGGAAAATATGTAGCAATAAGTGCCCACATGAGAAGCAAGGAGAGATCAAAAATTGACACCCTATCGTCAAAACTGAAAGAGCTAGAGGAGCAAGATAAAAAAAACTCAAAATCTAGCAGAAGACAAGAAATAGCTAAGATCAGAACAGAACTGAAGGAGATAGAGACACAAAAATCCCTTCAAAAAATCAATAAATCCAGGAGCTTGTTTTTTGAAAAGATCAACAAAATAGACAGACCACTAGCCAGATTAATAAAAAAGAAAAGAGAGAATAACCAAATTGATGCAATAAAAAACGATAAAGGGGATATCACCACAGATTCCACAGAA